CTCGCCTCGGCCTCCCAAAGTGCTGGAATTCAGCATTGTTAATCATAAGAGAAATACGAATTAAAACCACAATGAGATATCAACTTAAACACATCAGTATGACTACTACCAAAAGAACACAGTATAACAAGTTTAGGTGAGGATGCAGAGATATTGAAGCTTTCGTGCACTATTGATGGGACTGTAAAATGGACCAGTTGCTATAAAAAGAAATATGGAGGTTTCTCAAAAATTAAATAAAGAATTACTATGTAATACAGCAATCTCACTTCTTGGTATTCAAAAGAATTCAAAAGAATTCAAAAGAATTCAAAAGAATTCAAATCACTATCTCATAGGGATATTTGCACACTCATGTTCATTGCAGCATTACTCACTATAGTCAAGAGGTGGAGGCATCCCAAAAGTCCATTGACAGATGAATGAATAAAGGAAATATGGTGCATATTGGAATATTATGTGGTCTTAGAATAAGGAAAATCATGTCACATGTGATAACATGGACACTATGCTAAATGAGATATGCCAGGCATAAAGAATAAATACTGTATGATTTCACTCATATGAAGTATTTAAATAATCAAAATCATAGAAACATAAAGAAGAAAAGTGGTTGCCAAGAGCTGTGGGACGGGAAGGAGGAGGGGGAGTTAGTTTTTAAATGGGTACAGAGTTTCAGTTTTGAAATGAAAAGGTCATAGAGCTATTTTACACAACAAGGTAAATACACTTAACACCACTGGACTGTACACTTAAAAATGATGGCAAATATAATGTTATATGTTTTTTACCACAATTAAAACTAAGGTAAAAACACAATGTCTAAAAAAAAATCAACTTTATTTTGAGACTATAAAGACAAATTAAACTTTAGTGTAAAAAGTAATGAAATGATTACTCAGGTTAGAAATGAAAAGCTACTATAAAAGAAATGTAGATTAAAACTGTTAGATAAATAAAAGAAACAAAGGACATGTATGTTAATCTTTGAAGTCTTTTTTAGAGTTAATTTTTATTTCAATAGCTTTAGGGGTACAAGTAGTTTTTGGTTACGTGGGTGCATTGTACAGTGGTGAAGATGTCTGGGCTTTAAGTGTACCCATCACCCCCACAAGAACACATTGTACCTGATGAGTTACTTTTCATCTCTCTCCCTCTTCCCAGCCTCCGCCTTCTTAGTCTCCAATGTCCATTAGATCCATAGCTTAGCTGTCAATTATAAGCGAGAACATGTGATATTCAGTTTTCTATTCCTGTGCTAGTTTAACTTAGGATAATGATCTCCAATTCCATCCAAGTTGCTGCAAAAGACTTTTTTCCCGGAACTCAAATCATTCGATAAAAAAGATATCTGCACACGCATGTTTATTTCATTCTTTTTTTATGGATGAATAGTATTCTACAGGGTGTGTGTGTGTGTGTGTGTGTGTGTGTGTGTGTGTGTGTGTACACATTTTATCCACATTTCCTTTATTCACTGATGAACAGCTGATGGGCATTGAGGTTGATTCCACATCTTTCTAATTGTGAATTGTACTGTAATAAACCTGCGTGTGCAGGTGTCTCCGGTGTATAGGTGTTTCCTTTGTATAACGACCTCTTTTCCTTTGAGTAGTAGTGGATTGCTGGATTGAATGGTAGATCTACTTTCTAGTCTTTGGATGTGATATTGTTCCACTATGGCCTGATGGTCCTTTTCTAATCTGAACCCCAGTACAGGCTCCTCCATGGACCACTGTGGTGGGACATACAGTTTTCTGGCAAGTTGTACTGAGAGGAAACGGAAAGGTTGGACTTACAAATTCTAACATTTTCATCTGAGTCACAAAGCTTTCTCAGATAGAGTCTGACCTATAGTAGGTATATGCCAAACCCCAAGCACCAGAACTTGTTTTTTTAATTAGTGGCAAATATAACCAAAATGCAAACACAGAAATAAATGATTCAAGGAATCTGAATCAGCAGTACAGAAATGTGCAAAAATAGATCCCTACACTTTTCTGATTTTCACTTTCATTTTTTCTGATGTGAAAAATACCACCCTAGTGGAGATGGAGAACGAAGCACAAGTCAGTAGGTCTTAGTGACCAGCCCTTTTCTGCCACCAATGGTTCACATCCCACTGGCAAGATAGAATTCCTCTGCTTATCGAATTTCTCATCTGTGCAGAGTGAGCTGTAGTCATACAACAATGACAGGAGCAACATTGATCATGTGCATCGTAGAGATGTTCATCTAACTGTTTATTGTCTTAGCTTTGAGGTTGATACTGTACTTATCCTTGGTGCACAGATGGGGAAACTACAGAACAGGGATTATTATCCTGATGAAGCTTGCAAGAGCATGCAGCTGGTGAGCAGTGGAGCTGGAGCAGACGTTGAACCTGTTCTGCCTGGCTCTAACACTGCCTGCGCTGAGTCGCTACCCTGTACAGTCTTAACACAGAGATTTCAACCTGGGAAGTAAGTGAGGGCCCACTGGGTGTTAGGCACTAGTAGTTGTCACCCATTTTATCATTGTGACTTATTGGTCACTATTCTCTTAATTTTAAAAATAAGTAAACTAAAGGTCAGCGTCATTGAGTCAGTTTATCAAAACAAAAGTGGGAACTGAATTTGTGTCTAGGTCTTTCTGTTAAACATGTCCAAGTTTCCATCACTGTGTACTTGTCTATGCAACTCTCTCCCCCTCTGTGACCATCAGGCTAGAGCAGGTTTTGCTGACTTGAAATACTCAGGTCTTTTATTGAGCTTCTAACTCATTCTGGTACTGCAGCCCATTGATATGGAAAAATCCATCATTAATGGCCACTATAATAATTTACACTTTGTCCTAAGGAAGTTGTTGTTATAAAATGTTTAATTATTTAAAATTTTTTGATATGTGTACTGATCCTTTTTTAGTGTCCCTAATTAGTTTCATGGGAACAATTAAATATAGCATTTTTTAAAAAGATGTGGAGTACTATTCAGGGTTAGGTATACAAATGTTCATTATATAGGTGCCCTTGTTGATGAGGTGTGCCCCCCTCTCCCCCAGCAGATTCCCCCTACTGCCAGTCCTGCCTGCTCCACTCCCCATCAGTTTCCCGCTACTGCTGATCCTTTTCTTATAGTATTATGATAACTGTTCAAGGTCCTCTTATGAGTGAGAACATGTGCTACTCAGTTCTTTGTTTCTGTGATAGATCACTCAGTATTATAGACTTTAAGTTCATCCAAGTTGCTGCAAAGATCATAATTTTGTCCTTCTTTATGGTTGCATAATATTCCATCGTGTACATGTACCACATTTTTAAAATCCAGTCTTCTTTGATGGGCAGCATGGTTGGTTCCATGTTTTTGCTATTGTGAACAATGCTACAATAAACATACATTTGCAGGTACATTTTTCATAGAGTGATTTGAGTTCCTCTGGGTATATTCCCAGTAGGGGAATTGCAGGACTGTACGGAAGGTCGATTTTTAGAAGTATAGAATTTTAACAGCAAGGTAACTTTTCTCTTTTAGATAGCCTGAAACTTTTCCATAGACACAATATTTTCCTCAAAGGATTGTTATACTTATTTAACTAGATAACAAATGGCAAATAGTATGTGTTTGATACAATTTAATCCCCTTTGATAATTAATTAAATCGTCAATTTATGGCTGCTTTTGCTTAACATATTATGACTGATAAGACAACATCAGAAATGCAGTTCTGGGGATACAGAGTAAATACTCAAGTCATGACCTATATTTTCCCTGCTGTTTTTCTAGGGTTTGGGTTTTTTTGCTGCCACTGACAGGGGTCAGGTAGGAGATATACTCTGATTTTAGGGGCATTAAGTCCTAGGGTGAGAGCAATAAAACTGGTGTCAGAAAAACAAAGTCCAATTCTCAGCATTTACTTAGTATCCCTATGACCTCTTCAAATCATTTTAATTTCCTTTTTCTGTTTTCTAATCTACATGAAAGAGAAAAAGCAAAAATATCCATTCTGCTTTGTGTGCAGTCACAAGCTAAACCAACATGTTTAGCTCTTATGGGTGATTCATTTTTTTTTCTCTTTCTCTTTCATTCATTCCACAGCAAGGTTGCTGGTGCTAAAGGCTCATGTTTTTTCCAATTTGTAATCACCAGGAGGTACTTGAGAACTCTAGGATTTCCATTTTTATAAAAGCTAGCCTATTATCAGTAAAAAAAAATCTTAACATTTATTTCAAATAGAGTATTTATTCTCCAAGACACCATGTGACATGCTTCTCGTTATGTGATATTAGCTCCATTATTTAACTATTTCAATATTCCAGTCAAGAAATAGTAGTATCTATGGATCAGACATTAGAAGAGGATTTTTCTGTAGTCACTGATCTCTGAATTCAACTTTACTTTTCTTTAAATAATTTGAATCACATCTTTACATTGTTTGGTGTTGGTGTGGATGTGTGTTTGTGGGGGGAGGGTCCTTTTTTTCAGTATTCCATAATTTTCCATTTTGGGCCTTTTTGGATTTTTATTTAAAATTTGATTATAAAATGCTGCTGCATATTCACAGCATGATGCATTCATCAAAATAAATCGATCCAAGGCATTTCAGTTGTGAATTTGTACACCTGAGACACTGAAGTAAGAAATGTTAATTTCTTGCAGACTATTACCAGATGATCTGAAATATCTGCCAAACAGGAATGTCTGTTCCCATGAGAGAAATTTCCATAATAAAATCCTGGCACCCTAGCTGAAGAAGATAGTTTTATAGAAACAGAGAAAAACAACAGCGAGTATTTTCCCTGAGGACAGTTTTAGCTACAATTTCCCCAGTGCTGCTTAGGTGTTTCTGTCTTATTTGATGCTTTTGTTTTGAAACATAATGCAATTTTACCTGGATGCACTCCCGGATAATCAGGAATAGCTCAGAATGTTGGCTGGCTCTGTCAGATGCTAGACTCCACCGCTTTGCCCTTCCCCCCACTCCCACCTCCAGCGAGGAGAAAAGGGTTAAGGATTATTGGAAAATAGAGGAGAGGGGAGGGAGTCTCAAGGAGGCCCATGAGCAGGAGGCTGTGCCTCTGGGTCCAGCTTTCATCACCCGCGCGGCGCGCGGTGGAGCTCTGAGCGCTGCTGTGTATTTGGAGGGAGGGATGTTGCTGCCAATTTCTGGGACTGCTGCTGCGAAGAGTGGGCGTGGCCTCGGCGGTGTGGATGCTTCTTAGGAAAGATGCTGAGTGCTTTTCAGTGAGGAGTGAGGACTCTGTGAGAGAGACAGAGGGAGACAGAGAGAGAGAGAGAGAGACAGAGGGAGAGAGAGAGAGAGAGAGGAGAGAGAAGAGAGGGAAGGAGAAAAGGCTAGGGAGGGAAGACAGAGGGAGAGAGAGACTAAGAGAGAGATCTAGAGGTGCCAAAGACACAGACAGAGCTGGGAGAGGGACTGAGAACAGGACTGGAGCGCTTGGAGAGCCTCTCAGGATCTTTTGGGGGAGTCCAGTAAATGTGAACATGGGTTCTGTCACCGGAGCTATCCTCAAGACGCTACTTCTGCTATCTACTCAAAATTGGAACAGAGTCGAAGCTGGGAATTCCTGTAAGTATACAGCAAATGATTTTAAACTTGCAAGGAGGCTGTCTGCAAAACTTTGATTCTGTTGTTTTTACGCTTATTATTTGCAACTGAAATTACCGCAAAGCATATTGCTATACATGAAGCATCACTTAAAAATTTTGCAAGTATGACGGATTTACACCTGTCTTTTTTCTTGATCTGGTCAAAATATGCAAAGTGTCATTTCTCTTTTTGTCTGTGAGCAGAATCTTACCCCCTTGTCTTTGAATATTCATTGAGAACACTTAACTTCTAGTAAAACATTAAAATAGCGTCTTAACTGGGGAGTAGCCTATGAGTATCTTCATTTCTTCCTTTAAAAAAAAAATGACTGAATTTTATTGGAATTCTGTCTAACAGGAAAACAACTGGCTGACTTTACATTATGCTGCATTGGCTTAGATTTCTGAAGTTTGCAATCGGGCAGAGCAGTAGCTGGCTGCATCTTTAAAATGATGCAGACTAATAACTGAAATGTACTGCAGACTTCAGAAGCAGCAGCACTGGCAGAGGCAAACCTCAGTATTAAGAGCAGTGCCCTCACTGCTAGGCAAAGGAGTCTTAGAGCACTCCTGAGAGAGGGTCTGATACCTACAATTTTGTTTAAAGGGACACCATTCAAGTGATCTTTCAAAAGTAGTATTCTTTAGTGGTTAAATGTTTTACTTCACAAATTTGTCATTGAATATTCTGATTGAATATGATTGGATTCAGGGAAAATTTATTACAACGATTTCTAATTTAAATATTATCCACAATAATTTGGCAGACTCCCTTAGTCCATTTCATGTTAGAGAAAAAAAAAAGTTTTAAAAGTTAAATCTGGCTTAAATTCTCTAAATGGGAGAATTTTTCCCTCTTGATGAATGATAAACATGCTTGTCAAATACAACTTTTTATTTCTTTCTTGGATTTTAAAGAAAAAGCTCATTTGTTTTTCAAAAAAGGGCCATTAGGCCTGCCCAGGAATGCTGCAGCTGTATCACCAGGTTTGGATTTGAGGGGCACAAGCCAGTGATCAGGTATTTGCTACGGCACAACATTTGACTACACTAATGGGCTCTGATGTGAGAAAAACATTGTGAACTTACTGGCACAAGCAAATGTCCATTCACAGTGCATGGCACCTGTGATTTTATTTCCATTCTATATGAGCTCACTTAATATCACAGTGTATCTATCAGCCTGAAAGAAGGGAACTTCACTCTAGGTGCTGTATCATTTCAGATTCAATTTAAATTTGGGTATGTGATAATCCCATAAATCAATACAATTTGCATAATTTCACCTAGTCAGAATCTTGGAATTTTGTAATGGAAGCATTTGACAAACATTATGACACACAAACAACAACAACAACAGCAACACAGATAACCGTACACTAATGGAAGTTTTGTAGAAAAGGCATAAGTAATTCGTCTTTCAAATACTAAAGTTCAACCAAAAAGAGAAGCACTAGAGGTCACTCTTACAATGTAAAGCACATCACCCTAAGCATCCTGTCCTCAAGAAAATCAGAGCTTAAGTCTGGCCTAGACTCAGTCCTGTCTTTCCAGTCTAACTGCCTGTAGTTGACTTTATAAGATACTAATAATTAATTGGGCTACCAGTTGTCCATGTCTGTTTTCCCGAAGCACAATAAAAAGTGTAAGATGCAGATTGACATTAAATGGCTTTCTTTTGTAGCATATTTTCTTAGTAAAGAAAACATGCTAAGAAAGATCTGAGGAGAGTATAATATTTATGTCTGTTTGACTCTGGCTGGGCCTCCCATTGGCACTTTACACTTCAATCCTGGTTCTGTATTTCTTCAACCTTGGTTTGTTCAGGAAGTAATTTAATGCTCTTCTAAACATTTGATGAACTTACAAAACCTATAAAATTTTAAATTGCAAGAAATATATAAAGTTGGAGTTCTTGGTTACCACACATGTTAAAAGTTGACTATTCTTCAAGTGACAAAATGTAATTAAATGACTGCATAAAATTAAAGTACTTTTTTGTTAATATTTTGACAGTATGATTTGTAGCAGTATTATAAAAGAAAATATTTTACTTCCCAATTTTTATTTTGTTCCTCAATGTCTAGAAAGTGTTTTCTTTTGGGAATAAACAAGGTCTATTTTTTACCAAGCCATGGTAGAGAGTAGTTAATATATTTTGTCCTTTTTGAAAGAACAAATATGTATATTTTCTAGCAAGGTTGGAATTTATTGTGTGAACAAGCAATCATCAACCAGCATAAGCATTTAAAAAGTGTTATAATAACTCCATTAATTCTTCTGGACAAGACTTTATATTAACAAAAAGTAAATCAATCTTGAATATACCAACACTGAAGTCAGGAAGAACTGAATATAAATAAAGAAAATTACAGGTCTGCCACAGGTGAAAACAAAGTCCTTTTCCCTTTATTTACAGCTGATTCACCAGGAGCAAATTTGTCATCTTCTGAGTCAGCTTAAGGCTGCTGATATGAAAGCTTTCATGGGACACACTCTGTAAACCCAGAACAGCTCAGGGATTAGATGCACTTTAATTTGAATTGATCCAATTCATCAGTAGGGAAACTTTACATTAGAAGGCTTCTGTGAAAATACACACATGCACACATATATGTTCACGTATATGTATATGTGCCTGTGTGTATTTATGTATATGTGTATATAAATATGTGTACACTACTAGACCCATGTGCTTGCACATTTTGGTGGCCCTGTTAAGTACTCATCTTTATAATGATGAAATATGCTGAATGGACCACATTCTTTGCCTACTGGTGCAGAATTTGACATTTTAAAAACAGTGAACTGGCCCCCGTTCTTTTCTCTTTGTTCTGGTCAAGATGAGTATTTTATTATATCGAGGTGTCCCTTTCACAAAAGTTTAGAGACAGATCTTTGTAGAAGGGCTTGGTCTTTGAGAAAAGCGAAGACAGCACTGGCTCTTGTTGGTTTCTGTGCTTGTTACTAAGAGATATGCACCTAGAAAGAAGACATTTCTGTATTTTATAATGACTATTATAAATCCACAGTTTCTGAACATTAAGACATTGTTAAGGAGTGGTCAACTCACCACAAAAGAGGGAATAGGTGTAAGTAGTAAGGCTGGTAAGAGTTTGCTTATTTATTTATTTATTTATTCTTACAGATCACGTGATGGAGGCTCTCTGGCGTCAGGTATACTGAGCCTGACACTGAGAATAATTAATGTTCGTCATGTAGTTTACCAATGACTTCATTAGAAGTTAACTTTTCACTTTGTTCTTTCTTTTTCTCTTATTGAAATAAAGGGTATACCTGATACCTACCATGAAAGAAATACTAAAGAGTAGATGAAGGCAACTGCCTGAGTGGGTGATCATTCTTGTGGGCTCTGGGATGCAACTGGGTAGATTGTCAAATTGTTAAAACTCAAACTTGCAATTTTTTCTAGAAACTTATTTTTTTCCTCCCACTCTCCAAAATTTATATCTATAGAAAAAATAGCTATCATGCAATAATAAAGTACTGACAAAACACAATTTTATGATGTAATCCATTTGACTGATCCTTGATTATAAAAATTAGCATGCACTTTGACTCACTTTTGTAACAGCAGCGGTGATTTATTTTAATCCACTTGATACATTCTCCTCACTTCTTCTTTCATGCATCCCAAATAATCTCGAAAAGGCAGATTCCAGCTCTGGGGATAACATACTTCATAAGCTAACAAGGGAATCAAACATGACTTTCACATGACACCTAGAGCTCACTCTAAGCAATACACATCATTATTATTTTCTGAAATTAATTTTGGACTTTATATCATAAATAAACAATTTATGTATGGGAGCTAATCTTTATATCAAGATTAAATTGACTTATCTCTTTAATGAAAATAGGTTAATAGAATTATATAATATCAACTGTAAGATAATTTAATATTTAGCTTAGAGGTTGGCAAACTATGATCTATGGACTAAATCTGTCCTGTTGCCTGTTTTTGTGTGGTCTATGAGTTGAGAATGGTTTTTCCATTTTTTAGCTGAAAAAAATTAGAAGAATTCTTTGTGGTGCAAAATAATTATATTAAATCAAATTTTATTCATCTATTCTTATTAGTAGACCTGTATGAAAAACTTTGTACTCAAATATTAGTATTATATTTTGAATTTTATCAATAAAAAATTGTTGACATTATTTTCTCTTCTATATAACTACTGATGTTATATATATACATTTATTTTTTTACTATCTGGTTCTTTAAAGAAAAAGTTAGTTGACCACTGATTTCAAATAGTATACCATATAATATGATGACTAGTCATGGATAGTGTATAAATTATACTTCTATGATAAAATTTAGTCTTGACTATTTAGCACACAAATACATACCTGTGGAGTTGTGGTACTGAAGGTAATGCTACTGTTGCCAGGAAGTATAATGGAGCAAACTTCAAGTTAATGTCTTCCTCATATGTTTCTATTTGAATGCTTTATTTTTCAAAACTCTTGATATTTCAGCAGATATGAGTTATTTGCAATTATTTGTAAAGTTTCCAAACTTTTGTTTGTTAAGAGGGTACATTTAATCTCAAGTGATCTTATTAGAATAAGATGTTCAATAAAAGTCTATAAATAATTGGATCTAATCTATTTTAAATAAAATTCTGCTGTTATTTTACATTTTCATGAGTGCAAAATATTCTACTCTATACCAATCAGAAACTTACATGTAAAAGCAATGATTATATGGGGGAAACTTTCTTAATAAAAGAGTGTTTTTGCCCCTGTGACTTTATTTTTCTTTTAGATTCAAGGAGTAAAAGTGCATATTTGTTACTGGCAGAGATTGGACTTGAAGTTTTTGTGCCTTCTAAAAATTCTGAAATCGGCAAACTTTCTAGAATAAATTGCAAAATAGATTTTCATTTAAGCACTGCCCACTGAGAACTCATAGTAGTTAAGTAAGTGATAGTATAATAAATTCTTAGTAAA